CGCAGAGGATGAAATGAAATCCCTTCACACACACAGTGCACTCACTTTCACTCTGCACACCCCCATGAATACTTTCATGCCCAAGTGCAAGTTACACCAGATGTCTTTCCACGCCGTGCAAGTCCTGTCTGCCTGCCTTGCACACGCGCCCCTCTCTCAGCGCCCCTGCTACGCTTCTCTCTAGCAACACCCTCCCATGTAACCTTCAACACCCGGCTCCCGCAATGCCTCCTCTGCAAACCCTCCCAGGCTCCTCTCCTCTCCGATCCTACAATCTTGCCCTTTCTACCTCTTACAGAATTAATGAATAGTGTGCTATTAGGTTTACCATGTGAAATCGCCATTTTGTTAGGTCAAAAACAGCCACATATTGGCAATGTTGTATACTAAAAATGTTACTTCTTTCTATGCCAATGTGCTGTTTCCCATCTAAATTATAGTAAAGGAGCTGCACTGCCCTCCTCTTTGTTTTCTCAGAACCTGGCACAGTGCTTGGCACATGGTGGGTACCCGATGAATGCTTGCTGAGTGAATGAGCACCGCTTGGCAAGTTTTGTATGCTGCCTGTTCTGCTACGTTGCGTGCTCTGACATAAAAACAAAACTGAATCCAGCACTGCTGTAAAATATCTCGTAAATTTTCATCCCAGCCAAGCCAGGCTCTAGATGTTCGCTGCACAGGTCAAGCAGAGGGTGAGAACATCTCAGAACGTGCAGGGAGCGGGGAAGCAAATTATTCAGGACAACTACCTTTCTGGCAAGAGAAGCAGAGTCAACAGTCGGCGGAGAAGAAGTAGCAGCTGGATCAGGAGACGGAAGGCAAGAGGGAGAAGACGGAGGATGAGTATGAGACAGGCCTTTAGAGAGTAGTTTATTCTGCACAGAACAGAAACAGAAGAAACTAGGATTATCCCAGGGACATGCAGAGCAATGCACCCTCAGTGATGCAGTCCCACGCCAAGGCACTCAAGGGGAGAGACACAGAAACCCTGTCTTCGGAGCCAAGCAGGATTATCTGGCTCCTGGTGACGCTGCATTCTGGTGCAACTATTCCAGCTCCCTTGTCACACCAAAATAGCTCGCACAGATCCAATCTGTTCCTGCCTGCATCCGCCCCAGACAGCAGCACTAATTACTGAAGCCCTCGCCCTGGAGCTTGGAATGAAGTAGCAGCTGCCAGCTTAGGAAAGGAGAACCCGGGGCTGCTCTGGGGCAGATGGCCACAGCAGGGGTCTCTGCAGCCTGGCAGACACCTGTGCCAGCCTCCTGGCGGCCATGTGGAACCCTAAACATGAACTAAGTGGAAAGCATCCTTTCCATGTCAATGACTCCACCAAGTAGCAGAGGACACAGGTCTGGAGGGGACTGAGCGAGAACAGCAGAGGAGGTAAAGTCTATAGACAGGCTTCCCGTGAGAGGGCGGACTTCACACGAACACCTGTGGGATCTCATTATCGACTCTTTCGTCCCCCTGTGAACACATGCTCGTTTTCCAGCAAATTTCCAATTAAGTAACTGGCTTGGAGGGGGCTACACTTCCTATTCTAAGGCAAAGCCATTCTTCATGCTTGACTTTGCCTCTGGGGAAGCAGAGTCCAGGTCAACCACGGCATGTGTTTCTCTGATCAGAGGCACAGGGAGATTCCTCCCTTGTGCCCCAAAACATCAATTGCTTTGCTTTCACCATAAAGGCACTGTGATTCTGGCAACTGACCAGTACTCCCTCTTTGTGTTGACCTGTAGGAAGCTCAGAGCCTACTCGGAAACTATCTAGGGCCTAACAGCATGCGTTTCTCTTTGGTGAAGTTTTCCTTTGACCTGAGCTTACTTTCCTGCCTTGGTTTTCCCTTTGTGATGATGTATCTACTTATTTTGAATCTTTAGATCATTTGGATCTCTTTTAGATGATGCCAGCTTAAATTCTTTAATGGCTCAAAAGATGAATAGCTCCTCATGCTATAAAAGGAGGAAGGAGCAAATCCAGCTCTGGAGACTCATTCATGGTCCCCTGGCTGGGTGTCCAACATCTGGGTTCCTGGGGGATCTGAAAGCCCCGTGTTTACCTGCGGGAAATCCCCTTGTCCAAACATGGAAGCGAGGTGAGCCGCCTTCTCTTTAATGTTCTTTTTGTGAAATTCCCTGTTGGCCAAGTTCTGAGCCCTCTTCTGTAGTTAAGGTGAGAAAGGAGAAAGAAAAGAAAGATAGTGACAGAGGCTTGTCTGGTCCCCATGCACAGCAGGATGGGAGGCAGGGAATAGGCAGGAGCGGGGTGCGGAAAGGAAGTCACCCAGACACAGAGTGAGGGCAGAAAGCGAAGCTTTCACCTGGAGAATCTTTTCTTCCACTTGCTGCAGCCGCCGCAGCACTCCGGAAAGGGCCTGCGGGCCCTGGCAGGGAGGAGACAGGGCAGCGAGATTTTCCGGCCTGCCCAGCTGCAGGTCAGACTTGGCTCTGGCTCTCCAGGGCCTGCTCAGACACTCGCCGCCAGCAGACACTTGCTTGAGCTCTCTGAGCACATGCCCTGTCACGACCACGGAGGGGAACTGGGAGAGAGGGAAAATTAAGCTTCCTTCCGTATTGTGGCCCTTTCAGGGACTTCCGTAAGGAATCCCCCACGAGGACCAGAGACAAAGGACACATCAGGTGTCCCCTTAAGTGAGATTCCAAACTAGCCTCAGGTCTTGACTTTCCACACCTGCAGCAAAATCACCTGGCAGCCCTGTTAACAATACACAGTCTGGGGCCTCACCCCAGACCCCCTGAACCAAAACCTGTGCAGCCAACCCTGTTCTCAATCCTGGCTGTCACTGAAATCATCTAGGGTACTTTTCAAATAGACCAAGTCTGGGCCCAACCCCCACAGACTCTGATCTGATTGCTCTGGACTGGGCAGGAGACATTGATATTTTTAAAAAAGCTCCTCAGGGGATGCACAGAGACACAAAATAGCTGACTTACATAAACACTCACCCTACTCAACCTCTACCACCCGGAAACAACACACAATTCCTAACACTGACCAGATGTCCTTGAAATTTGTGGTCAATAATAGTGATTCTGGTCAAGTTCCCAACCCAGAAATGCTAGGCGGAGCCACAGCGTGTGGCTGCCAGCTGCCTCTCTGCCCACTTCGCAGGTCCTCAGCCGCTCTGGCACTGGGAAGGCCTTCCCCACACCCCAGCCTCACCCCTTCAATGGGCACAGCCAAGTGGCCACCTAAGCCCCTTCCAACATCACATTTTCATTGATTTGGAAATCAGCCTATTCAAATGATCTGCAAATAAAGCTTATGTCACAGGGCATCACACAAAATACCCTATGTAGTCTGGTTTGTTTTTCCCCAAGTAACTGCATCAAGAGCATGGTGGTTGGTCATTCCGTACCTCTGGCTGGCTGAGGGACCTATGGGATGTATTTCACGATACTGCATCCTTGGTTATTTTCACCTATAAGGGTGGTGACCTCAAGTAGTGTCTGCTTGCCCAGAGAATCTACAATCCGCCCTATCTAGGGTGCGGGGAGGGCCACTGACCCCACCCCTCTGGATCACAGTCCACCCTTAGCTTCACTAAAACAGCGTCCACTGGAAGGAGCCCTACCTGCCTTTTCAGAGCAGGTGACGGGCTGGGTGTGGGCTCCTCCGGCTTGGAGCAGCGAGAGTGAGCAGGAGAGTCAGAGGAAGAGCACAGGACCGGCTTACCTATCCCTGAGACACGGCGCTCCTGGGAGGAGAAGGGTGAGTCCGAAAAAGCAGCCACAGGAGACATGAAGGAAAAGGTGAGTCAGACTGAGCCATTTGGAGGCAGGAGAGAAGAGGAGCAGGGAGATGCAGTGTGCGAGCGTGGGGAGGGCGCTGGGCTGAGCTCCTGCAAGCCGGGCCCAGCTGGGAAACTCGAGCCCTTGTGAACAGCAAGTCCTAGAGTCCCCTCCTCTCGGACAATGTGTGAATCCCAGGGCGGCCTTGCTCTTGGCTCAGATGCAGGGCCCTGCGTGGGCACTGCTAGAGCCCATGCCAGGCCAGCAAGGCCAGCCTGGGCCGGGAATGCTCCTGTGCTCCTGATGCAACAGAGCCCTCATCAACACTTGGGCGGCGTGGGGGGCCAAGCCTCCAGAAGGGACAGTCGAGAGCATTTTGGAGAATAACAAGTCTCAACAAAATGGCCCCCTCGTAATAAAATCACGTCACTTCCTGGGGAAAGTCGGTTAGTCCAGGAGGGGTGTGGTTTATGTTGAGATCAAGGAGGTGTCTATGATTGCTCTAAAGCCAATTGACCAGGGGTCTGTCCATCCTCCTGAAAGGAGCCTAATTCTGTCACGTGACAGGTCCTCTCCATAGCAAAACCAAAGCCCTTTTCCCAAGCTTTCGTAACATGACAACAGCATCCCAAAGGAGATTCAGGGGAGCAATGGAATGAACCATGAGGGACAGATCTCTAAGCCAGAGTCAGAAAGAAGCCTGCAGCCCAACCCACAGTTCTGATTCACTTCCTCTGGTCTGGATGGTTCTCACCATGGGCTTGGACTGTACACTCCCAGATAGCTCCATCTCAAAAGCTCCCTCAAGCTGTACCACATCAAAATTGGCTGCGAACCAAGTCATGGTGGGGAAGTAAAACTAAATTAGGGACTGGATTTCCTTAATGCAGAATGGGTACCAGCAAACTCTGGCCTGTTGGCCAAATCTGGCCTGCCACCTGTTTTTGTAAATAAAGTTTTATTGGAACACAGCCATGCTCATTTGTTTAGGTACTGTCTATAGCTGCTTTCATGCTACGTAGTTGTAACAGAGATGGTGTGGCCCTCCAAAGCATAAAGAATTTGCTATCTGGCCTATTCTAGAAAAGTCTGCTGATCCCTGATCTAGAAGAAGCTCAAGTCCCATTTTCACCAGGCCTAGCTGGCACATTTGAAATCCATCAATAGCCTGAACATTCCTGCTTACTCCTCAGCAGGTTCTCACCACCAAGAAGGCAAGTCCAGCGAGCACCTGACGTGACTCACCTGCTTCAGGAGCGAGGGGTTCCGAGAGTTCTCCTCAAACTTGGCCAGCAGTTGGTTTGCCATGGACTTGACTTTGTTCTGATTTCCACCTTCTTTACTGCTGCTGCACTCTTGATTGGAGCCCAAGCTACGGCTGGAAAAGGTTGAAGGCTGCAAAGGTCAAAACAGTACATTGGTGGTTGGATCCTGGAACCCAGACATCAGCGAAGGGGCAAGGACTCAGGACACAGGACTAGTTTGCTGAAGAAGGACTCCCTCCCTGGTATGAGGAAGTGAGGCAGGGGCAGCAGAGCCACCTGCAGAGACAATGTTCACAGGACAGATGCGTCTTTCCAAAGGATGGGCACAGCCAGGCTTAGGAGCCAGACAGTTAGGGTTTGAATCCTGACTCATTTCCCAGCTCTGTGACCTTGGTAATTTGCTTAACTTCTCTGAAGTTTCCTCATGGATAATCCACTTCACATGGGTATTGCAAAAACCAGATTTAATAATGAAGTGTCGAGCAAAATGGTTTTCAAAATACATCATGTGGCTGAGAAGAGGTGAAGAGTTGAGGGGGATGAAGGAAGCAAGAGGGGGTATCCCTAGGGCAAGGCACAGGCTCTGGGCTTCTTTCTCCTCTCTACCCTACCCTCAACTTCAACCAGTCCTGCTCTGGTTTCGCTCTTTTAAAAAACTTTTAATTTACAAATAATTTTAGATTTACACAAAAGTTGCAAAGATAGCACAGGTTATTCCTGCAGACCCCTGACCCAGCTGCCCCTAATGTTAACATATGGAATATCAAAGCTAAGAATCTTCTTACAAAGCTAAAAATCTAACATTGGCACAATACTATTAATGAAATTATAGACTTTGTTCAAATTGCACCAGTTTTTCCACTAACATCTTTTTCTGTTCCAGGATTCAGTCCAGGATCCCACACTGCATCGAATCATCACCTCTCCTTGGTCTCCGTCTTACCTTCTCTTTCACGACCTTGACACTTTCGAAGAATACTGCGCAGCTATTTTATAGAAAGTCCCTCAGTCTGGATTGGTCTGATGTTTTCTGATGCTTAGACTGGGGCTGTGGGTTTGGGGCAGGCTACCACAGAGGTGAAGAGCCCCTCTCACTCCATCACATCAGGGTTCGTGATATCAACATGACTTATAAGTGGTGGTGTAGACTTTGATGGTTATTTTGTAAAATAGAGCTCTATATAAGATTTCTATAGCTCAGCTGCTAATAATAAAAATTTGAAAATTGCCAGCGTTCAGTAAGAATGCCTGTTCCCCTTACCATGGGATCTCCTCCCAGAGACCCCAGAAGTGTAAACGGTGTTGTCACGCCAAGCGGGCAGTAAGCTTTCGCAAGGATGCCGTGGATCTCCCTCACAGGAAAACACATTCCCAAGACAACAAAGATGTGTTCACTCAGAAGAAATTCATGGGCAGAGGCAAGCTACAGTCCACTATTTTTTAAAAAGGGCCCTAAGAGTAGCAGCCCCATGGGAAAGCTTATATGCATAGCTGCTCTGAAGTGTTGGACAAACACAAACCCAAGAGGCAGCCCCTACTCTACAGTGAAGTGTAACCACACACATCAGTACAGGCCTGAGAGAGAAAAAGGTGTGTTTACTGGGATGATCACTGTGTGAGACCAAAGTCAGCCAGCACTTTTCAGATGCTAACGTGCACGTGAATCATTCTTCCAAAGCAGATCTGGTTTCAGCAGGTCTGGGGTGGGCCCGAGGGTCTGCGTCCCTAACAAGCTCCCCAGTGCTGCTGGTGCTGCTGGACCTTGGGCCACACTTTGAGGAGCAAGAATTTAGGAAGAATTATTGCTTTGCTCAAGCTGATTTTAAGCAAAACAGCTGCCCCAGAAAACAGTGCATGGCAATCTCAGAAGGGGCAGATGCAAACCGGATTTCTTCCTGCTCTACCTCCTGGGCCACCAACAACAGAAATGGCACAAGCACCCCTCAAATGAGCCAAGGAAGAAAGGTGGGAAAAGACTTGCACCTGAGACCAAGTGTGCCTAAGGCAAGCTTCTTGGGAGCCACTCACAGGCTCTGAGGGGGAGAGGCAACACCCGCAGCCTGGGAAACGGGGCGTGTCTCTAGCCCTGTTAGTCAGCCTTTGCCCCCTCCTCTGAATTATCTCCCCATTTGCTGGCTTCTTGCTCACACCACAGCCAGCAGGTGGGGAAGCAACAGTTCTTGAAGCAATCACCCAAATAAGTTCTAGAAAATGTTCAGACAGGGGTGATTTGAACTTATTGGATGGAGTGGGGTTTTGCACATTTTAAGATGTGAACAGAACTCCAGGTTTATCAATGCTTCTCTTCGACACCCCAGGAGATGGGGTGAGCAGACAGCTGCCCCTCACCCCAGGTAGCCCTCGTGATTCTGCTTATTATATTTATTTTTATATTTATTATAAAGTCCACTGTTGTAGGATGGAGCAAGTCAGACATGAACAATGATGTCATACAAATATACAGCAATAAAACCTCCTCGATCACATAAAATAGAAAAAGTCTCTTCTGAGTCCTACAAATCAGACATCAATATGTTATATAGATTGTCCCACATGACTCTAAGTCCTCATTTTGACATCGGCCAGCAGCAGGACAGCGAAAGCTGGCATCCTGTACTTCACTGACAATATGTATGCCTGTGGAATTAGAATGGCTTTTTTTGAATAAAGTGTATATCTCAGGTCTCTTTAAAGAGTTGCCTGGGGAAGCAGGAACTGATACTCTTTCTGTTGATTGATTTTTCAGAAGCAGTTAGAGATTCGTGCTCTTCTTTGACAAAGTAACCTGTAATTTTCTTCTTTCACCAGAAGGTGGCACTTGTGGGCACGAGGACATTTGCCTTAAAGACTAAAAGCACAGAAAACATAAAAGAATACAAAGGACGACTGGGAGAGAAGGGGGATTGCTGGTGCCTCTTTACTACTTACTATTGCTATTAATAGTGATTATACATTTAGTAGCAGATGTGACAGATACCATGTCCAGAGTGTTATATACATCGTCGTTAACCTTTAAAGATGCTGCAAAGATTCATGACTGCATTTTACAGACACGAACCACGCCCTGGGAGGTTATGTTTCTCAAGGTTACACAGCCAGTAAGTAGTAAAGCGAGAACCAGACCCAGACTGCTTTTCCATCAAGCCAAGCTTGGAACCCAGTGGTTCATGAGGGAGGAAAGGAAGAGGGCCAGGGCTGCTGTCATGGTCAGGGAGGCCTGCAGCCACTGGTTGTCAGAAAACGAGCCTTTGTTTAAAGTGACACTGTGCTCACAAACCTCGTCCAGGTTATTGAAGCCTTTCCGCCTCCGTTTGTTCATGTCATTCTCTTCGGTTTGGCCATCCACCTGCAATGGCCAAGAAAGCACGGTGAGTTCAGCGGTGAGTTCGAGGGCTTCAGCCCCACTAAGATCCCTGAGGCCACAGAGCTGGCCTTGAGCTGGCGCTACGGATGTATCCTTGCTGCCATCAGCTGCCATTCTACATACAATCATGGTAATAAATTACCCTGCACTGTGACAAATGCTGTCACAGAGTTTTGTTCAGGCACAGGGGAGGGAACATTATTCCACCTAGGGAGCCAAGGGTTCGGTCAGAAGGGGTGGCAATTACATCCCAAAAGATCATGATGAAGCATCCCAAAGCAACAGGAATCCCTGAGACATGGTAGTCTCCACTGCAATGTGGCCTTGGGCTCAGAGCAATTGAGTGACTCCGAGGTCACAGCCAGGCTTGCTGACTCCAGCAGTGCTGCCTTGTGGAGACCACCTGGGGCCTCTGTGTGCCTCAGGAGCCTCTCTCCTGTGAGGAGGTGGCCTGTTTCCCCTCACAGGGATTCTCAGGGCTCAAATGGGCTGTCCAGGGATTTGATGGCAAATTAAGTCTGCAAATCAGTCACCGTCACAGCTACTAGTAAACAGTATTTTAATTTCAAATAAGCATTAGATGTGGCCTGGTGACTAGAGTGACCATACAATCCAGTTAGCCCAGGGCAGGTCTGATTTACTGCTGTGCCCCCACCCGCTTCCTTCTCAGAAGTCTCCTGGTTTAGATAATACATTGCCCCACTCACGGCACACTTTCTGCTGCCAGAATCTGGACATTTAAATCTGAAATCCCTGCTCTACCCAAGCCCATCGCATCACGCCTGCTACCAAGGGCGCTCCTGTTGTTCGGCTTGTCTCCTAAGGGACAAGGTAGCAGGACTACAAGGTTGAGCTGATGCCATGAGCTGGGCTGGGGCTCAACTTAGCACCTTCTCTGCACCCTGTGGCGAGCCTATCCTTGGCTCTGGGCTAGGCCCCCACCCCTCCTGGGGTTAGACCTTTCCACCGCCAGATTCCAGCCTCTGGGGCCTTCTGTAAGGGAAGCTCCCTCAGGACCATGGAGCCATAAGCCACGCCTCACCGACATGTATCCCTTCTGCAGGGAGCCTCCTACTCTCTCAGAGGGGCCCAAATAGCAGGTCCAGATGAAATCCTGGCTTTCTACCACTGTGGACACCATGGGAAGGGCGCAGGCCACCCGCTCACCTCAAACCCAGGCACACAGCTCAATAAGTCTGATGAATCCTAATCTACCCAGTCACAGGAGGATTCTTTCACCTCCCGGTCATTCTGAAAGGGCGACTATGGGTGCCCCAGCGTGCAGCCCACCGCGCAGCCCTGCCTGCTGCAGAGAGCACCTGCGCCCCTGGCTCTTACCCTCCTCGTTGCCCCGCCCATCCCCATGTTTACCAGCCCCAGTTTTGTAAAAAAACAAGTCAACCACAGTTTAATCATTGATATTGGTTCAAAAATTTGACCCAGGAGGCACAAAACAACAGATCAAAGAGCCCTGCTTTCTTTCTCTCAGCTTCTAATAAATCAGTATTCTGTGAATGGAAATGATCTGAAGCCAAAAGCTTGGGCAAACACCAAGAGAAACAGATGACCTTATTTCCAACAACGTTGGGTCTCAAAGGCACAGGCTGTCTGGGCCTGTGAACGCTGCTCTGGCCCCGAGACCCGAGCCTGTGAAAGTACAGAATGTCCTACCCAAAGGAGACGCTTCCTGCATAGTAGGAGGGTTTGCTAGGGGGTTTTGTTTGCTTATTTGTTTCCACCTTAAATGAGGATTTGGCTTTTCCTCCAAAGACCAACACATTTTACTCTCTCGTTGCATTCAACATCCCAGGGGGAGACAATCCACCTTCGGAGCCTGTATAGATCCAAACCAGCCGTAAGAGGGGTGGGCTGTAAGGGGTGTTCCTGGGGAGGGCGCCCAGCCAGCAGCTCCTAAGGGGACTCCAGTCCTTGTGAGAAAATAAAGGAAGTGCATGGAGGCCACCTCAGTCCATCTGACCCATCCTGACCTATGGGATGGTGAAGTGCAGTCTACATGGAAAGGTTAGCAACACACATACACAAATGGCTTTTCCTTTTCCTTACGGATTTATCCTTGAACCACTGATTCTCAACTACGATCTAGGTTAAAACAAGAAGGATAAGAAAATTCAAACTTAAAGATTTATCTAATTTTTTTCTTACCTATACATCTATATTTGGAAGCCTTGGACCCTACTGTACTCTCCAAACAATTGCAAGTACAAAGAGAAGGAAAATGCTTATCATGCCCGGTCAGAGGGAGCAGGATGATAAACAAATAACTTGCTTTCTTTTCCTATTAATATTTCCAGCTCTTTCACCCTAAGAATACTTTCTTACCATGATTTCCCAATGATTTGAAAGAGTCTACATACCCAAAGGCATTTATTAAACTAATTGGCTTCCCTATTAAAAAAAATCAAAGACATATATCTGCCAGTCTGATCATTTATTTGATTGGTACAAGATAACCATGTTCCCATACTGCTTGAGTTAACGTGATTTTTAGCTCAAAGCCAACAAGTTTTATATTTAGTTAGCTGGTGTAGCCTAGCCCTGGAGAAATTTAGATCTGGGTCACAGGAAGAGAGATTGGCCATTGCAGCTTATTGTCTGGTCGAGTTGGGTAGGGGCTCTGATATTTAGAAAGATGGCCTGTGATACTAGCACGAGAGCTCTTTGTTCAAGGAAGCGTGGGTTTGAGTTCTGGTACTAATTGCTTCCCAGCTGTGTGACCTTAGGAAAATCATTCAACTTCTCTGAGTTTCATTTCCTTATCTATAAGAAGGGATCTTATATTGTCTAGTTCATAAGCTGTTGTGAGGAATAATTAAATCATGGATGTAAAACATTTCTTAAAGTACTGCACAGCAGTCCCTCTTACCCTCTGGGGATACGTTCCAAGACCCCCATAGGATGCCTGAAACTGCAGGTAGTACCAAACCCTAAACATATATATATGTGTGTATACACACACACACACACACACACACACACACAGTTTTCTGACCTGGTAACCGAGATGGCTATTAAGTGAGTAATGGGTGGGTAGTGTATACAGCATGCATACGCCGGGCAAAGGGATGATTCATGTCTCAAGCAGGACAGAGTGGGATGGTGTGAGATGTCATCATGGCACCCAGAATGGTGCACAATTTAAAACTTATTAATTGTTTATTTCTGAGATTTTCCATTTAATGTTTTCGGACTGTGGTTGATCACAGGTAACTGAAACTGTGGCTTAGGGGACTATTGAACACGCGTTAGACACTATTGGTGAGGTTAGCGTTAGTAACAGAATTTCAAACATCTGAATTCTAGTTCTAGCTTTGACATTTTCTACCTATATGACTTATTCAAATTTAATCTCCCCAAGTCCAAGTTTCCTCATCTAAAACTTGGCATGAGAATACGTTCCCAGCCTCCCTCCGGAGGTGACAGGAGGAGCCACTGAGGCACAGAGGGAAGCACTCTGCATGCAGGAAAAAGTGCTGTATGGATTGCGGTTGCAGTCTAGAGCCAAGTGTTCAACCCAGACCGTTTTACTCATCTCTTCAGAAAACAAGCATCTTCATTTAATCGGCATTCCTAAAGGAAGGGAACTGTCACAGACTGAGCCCCTTCCACCTGCTCAGACCTGCCGCACGTCCTGGCTCACATCATCCTTGCAGTAACGCTATGATGTATACATTATTACCCTCATTTTCCAGACAAGCAAAGGAGCTTTCTGAGAGGTTCGAACATTTGTCGAATCCCCAGCAGGCCTAAATACGTGTTTGCCTGCCTGGCTTCGAATTGCATTCCCAGACTGTAAATCAGCTCTGAACCCGGGCTGAGGCTGTGCAGGGGAAAGGAGAGACTGCAGCTTGGCAGTGACCTGCAAACCACAGGTGCTAGGAGGGGCTGCTCCAGGGCCCTGTGCTTGCCCAGCCTTGGAAGCCAGCACTCTTGACTCTCCCAAGACTTCTTCACAACTCTGACATGATAAGAACCGGAGGCCTAGTGGGGAGCTTTGGCTGCTGGGTGGGTGGTTCTGTGAGAGAAGCTGGAGAAGCAGAGAGAGGAACTTTGTAAGTTCCACTAGAAGGTCAGCTCCCTGGGCAGGTCCTTGCTTGTCTAGTTTAGTGCTCAATCCCCAGCACTGAGGAGAGAAGTCAGTGCAAAATAATGCCCAGTAAACAGTTGAACGAATGGATGGACAGAAGAGGCACTTTCTTATGTAATGCCCCTGGCTCTGGTGAGGAACCTGTAAGCGGGGTTCTGTTGCTCGTTGCACAGAAAGCCAGTTACTGAGACAACGAGGAAACGTTTTCTTGCTTATGGAACTGGTCACAGCTCTTTGGAAAGTGTTTGTGTGGGAGGGTCAAGGAGAGGAGGGCTGGGGAGGGACCTGGGCCACTGAGACCAGGTGAGCCATGCTCTGTGAGCTCCACTCCACCAGGGACCCATGCTGGAGGAGAAGGACCTGGCTAAACAGGATTTATCCTGGTGCCACCTGCCTGGCTTCTGGGACGGGCTTTCCAGGGACGAGTGACAACTTTTGTGTTGTCCCCCAAGGAGTGGGTTCAGAATGGGACAAAATCAAGTATCCTGCACATGTATGTAATATAACGTGTGCAATGACTGCAGTGGCCATAAATATGGGCATCACCCACATGTGGCAGGTCTAGGAGAGTACAGAGAGATATTGCCAGCGTGAATGTGTGTGTGTGTGTGTGTGTGTGTGTGTGTATGTGCGTGTGCGCGTGCACACGGGAACCTCAGAGGCCAGGGATGTGTGTTCAGGTGTTACCTGCATGCACGGTGACAAAAGCCCTGAAGCCCCAGGACTTGTCCCATGCCTTGAGGATTTTAGATGCTGACCAGGATCACAGACAGATCTGTAGAAGCCAACTCAGGGCCTTTTAGGAGGAAAAGATGATCCCTAAACTCTTCTCCTTTTCCCAGGTGTAAGCTGCCCCATCTTCAGAGCTAATCCACCCAATCACAGTGGGCTGGGAAAGTCACTCTAAAAGTAAAGAAGATCCTTGATGGAGAAAAAGTCCTTAATTTTGTTTGAAAGTGATAAATCTTGCTGGGATTTAGATGTTGTCAGAAAGATAAGACTGGGGAGGGGAGAAGAATTCTACACCAACAGTGAAAACCAGGAAGGAGAGAGATTCTTAAGCCTGGCTGAGATGAAGAAGCCACATTGTAAACAAATGTGTGTGCTGTTCCATTTCCCCATTCAGATGTTCCCCTGGAAGTTGGGGAGGAGGTTAGGAAGGGGTGGGGAGGAAGGTCAAATACAGATGCACCTACATGTACAGATATCGTGTGTGTGGGGGTATGGTATGGAATCCTACAAGCATGGCCTACCGTGTGTCTTCATTCCATAACGGCACCTGAGCAAGGGCATTGAGGGCTGTGTGTCTACCTGTGTTGATATCTTCTTCGTGTAACTGTCGTGGAGCCTCTACGTACAGACATGGTTGTGTGTGTGGATTTCAGAGTCTTGTGTGCAGACATCTTCTGTGTCTGTGCAGGACCAGACTGGGGTGGACACAGTGCTCTTTGCTTGTGGGAAATGTCAAGGCCAAAGGGCACTGCAAATAGTTTCCCCAAGCCAAAAAACAATCCTGATACAAGCTGCCGACCCATGGTAGGGTAGGGAGAAGGTACTTTCTACGTGGCCTGATCACAGTGCTGCCATCAGGTAGTGGCCAATGCGCTGGGGTATTGCAGTGATGACCAAGGCAGAGTGTGACCCAGTGGCCTTGCAAACCCACCTACTCACTCAGAGGAAATACTTGTTTTGAGGAGAGAAGGACAAATAATGCCCATGCTAGGCACTTAGCTCAATGACCAGATCTCTCTCCCTACCCAAAGAGGGGGGCAAAGTTTAGACATTAACTTATCTAAAGTAAGGCTGTGGGAGGGATCAGAGCATGGGCCTTACCCCCCTCAAAACGGCAGCCAGGGGACACACCTTGGAGGACGCTGGACTTGGTTCAAAATGGGCCAGGGTTGGGCCAGGCAGAGCCCTCCCACTCCCCAGGCATTTCCTAGCAGGCCTCGGAGGGCCTGGCTGGCCTTGCTCCCGACTTTTGACCCTCCCCACCTCCTGAGCCAGCGCCAGCTGGGCTGTTTCAATTGGGTCACTCTGTAAACAGAGGTGTGGTGAGTGAAAGGTTGACACATCCCTCTCCAGCTCCCTCTGTGGGCTGAGTGGCGAGAGAGGCTGAATGGAAAAGGTGGCAAATGTCTGGCTCAGAGAGCTTCCAGAAAGACTGCACTGGCTTGCCCAAAACAGGGGTCCTTGAGCTTCAGAGGCTGGGCTGGGGGTCGAGGAAGCCAACCACTGGTCTCCAGAAGATAGCACTGTCACGCGGTGGGACAGGCTGGGCACTATAGCCCTCACACAGAGCCTCTAGGTGGAGGTAGCTTGGGAGGCAGAGGGGAGAGAGGCTGGGAGCAGCTAATCATTTCGGCCACTGTGCTGCACACCTTCCTTGCCCGGCCTGGCCTTGCCAGCCCATCCCTCCCAGAGCCAGGGAGGGGCAGAGGCATGAAGTATCCTGCTCCTAGAGTTAGGAAAACAGCCGCTGCAGCATTCCAGGGAGCAGGGAGTGCAGGCCCAGTGGAAAAAGTGATCACTGCTCACATAGCCCAGGAGAAGAAAGGAGGCCGGGCGGCCCCACCCCACCCTGGGCAGAGGGGCTGGCAGCACCAGGCAGCAGCAGCCAGGGCTGGAGACTGTGGGCCCTAAAGAGACTCAGAGACTTGCAGGGGCCTCCAGCCACTGCATGTTGGCGGAGATGCCCTGCCATCCTGGAGAGGGAAGGAGAGCTCTGGGCGGGTACTCACAACGGCCCGGCCTGAGCCAGCCCTGCTCCCGCCAGTGGCCTCACCCTGGCCCCGTTCTCCTTGACCTGTTTTCTCTCCTCTGCTCCCATGGACCACCCAGAAACCCCCATGCCAGCCCCAGAACACTGACATTTGCTTCTGCCCCGGCTCATCCACACCCTGCAGCCTTTCCTCAGCCCTTGCCCTGGCTGGCCTCCGGGCACATGCTGGCACCGTCTCCTGGGCCCACCCTATAGACCCACTCTGCTCCCCGGGCTTTCTGACACCCCTCTGCCTCTCCGACTGCTCCTTCCCCATCTTCTTTCCTGGCTGCTCTGCCTCTGCCAGCCCCTCAAATTCTCTTGTTCCCCAAGGCTCTGGCCCTTGGGTGATTCCCAAACTGTGTACCAAGGCACCTTGTGGCACCATGGTGAACTCACAGAGGAGCCACAGGATATTTTAAATTTTCTAGGAAAACACAATGATGTCTATCAGACACCTTGAAAGATATTCCTATTAAGTTATTTGGACTTAACTACTTAATAAATGGAACAGTTAGGTATTTCCTTTGTAATTTTTGTGAAAAAAATTACAGAGACACTAAGGGTGCCATAAGTTGAGAAAGTTTGGGAATCTTTTTATTGGGCTCTAAGCTCCTCAAAGCCTAGGTCCATACATTATTCACTTCTGCATAGTTGCTTCCCTCATCAAAAACAAATAAAACTATAGCCCTAAAGCTGGCATATAGTAGAGCCCAACAAACAGTTGTTGAACGAATGAAGAAGTAAAAATTAATGGAGCAGATGTATAAACATAGCACCACCACCATACGCTTCTGCCACTAAACAATGGCCATCGTGCTCCTGATCCAAACTGCTCAGTGAAGGGAGAAATCACCTAGTTCCCATCCCTGGGGAGGCAGAGCTATTCTGATTTACTTTTGAAAATATTCGCCAGCATGTCCTGTCTGCTCCCTACCATGCCCCTCCAGTCACCATTTCCTCGTCAGTGAAACCAGCTTCCCAGTGCCAGGGAGAACTTCCAAAAACACTCAGTGACTAAACCAAGTTTTACACACATCTTTGGTGAGCGCTTCATCCGTGTCACTCACCAGCGTAAATAGACTGAGAACATGAAATGCTCTGTCCTCAGCCCCCATGCATGTGCAATGAGAAATAAAACAAAAACCAGGCCGAAACTTACTCGTGGAGTCCTCTTCCTTGGAAACGTGAGGTTGAGATAGTTATTAGAAATGGATGATTTGGCCAAGCCAAGGTCAGCATTGTCTCCATAATTTTTGCGCCAAGAATCTGTTGGGAGATAAAAACAAAAACCGAGATTTAGATACTGGGCCCAGGGGCATTGCTGTAACCAGGGGTGTTCTTGTAGCAAGGTCCCACTAAATTAATTCCCTCACCCCAAACTAAAGATATGAATGGCATGCAGATGCACTCAAACACATTCGGTCTGGGTGAGTGGGGTCACCCCCGTTTGACCTCACAGTCAAAGGGAAGGCACCGGCCGGCCCAGAACAGAGGATGGCAGCTGGGTTCGGGCACAAGGACAGAGATAGCTCAAGGGACCTGAGCAGAGCCTCCGCGCAGATCCTTACCCATGGGCCTCAGTGGGGTGCCCCGGAAGAGCTCGTAGAACTTGGAGAGGTACATGACCATGCTGAGCTTGTCTGGCTCCTGTGCTGATGCCATCTCTTTGCCCGTGGTCACCGGAGGGATCCCAAACTCACGCTCGGCCACATCAAAAGCCAGCTGGTTGTTCTCCACAGCGTCATCTTCATTCAAAGAGTCAAAGTTGCTAGAAAATCAAAACAAGGTAGAGAAATTCAGGGAGAGGAGGCAGAGGTAGGATGAGCTGAGCACTGTGAGTGACACTCTGCAGATGTCCGCAGGGGTCGGGGGCAAAGGAGCAGATACCCCAGCCCCTGCCCCCAGTTCTCACCCCATCACCCCAGAAGGTGCTAACCCCACCCTTCCCACCCAGAGAGGGACCAAATCTACTTTCATTGCTGCCTGGGAAGAAACCATCAGGAATTAATTTAAATCTCTTTGGAAAATTTGTAAGTTACTTTACTTTTAAGTATTTCCCTTATATTTTTTCTTTTTAATTACAAAAGTAATATGGGCATCTTGTTTTAAAAAAATCAAGTTATATATATGATATAAAGCAAAAAGTGAGAGTCCCATCCCTTTCTCAAAGCAACCTCACTTGCTAAAAGTACAAAGTGATAACCCGTTGGGAAGCTTCCTCTCAGTCTTTTTGGTGGATTTGCACACAGGTGCGAGGCTATACTGCTAGTGATTTAAATATAAATGTGTCATGCTTTGGACATCACACTGTTATGTGTTTGCACTAACATAATCTGATCTTCCTAATGGCCTTGCTGTACTTCCCAATCTATAGATGAAGAATCTAAAACTCAGACAAGGTAAGTGGCTTGCCCAAGGGCACACAGTTTATGGATCTAGGTCTCAAACCTAATTCTGTAAAACCCTCAAACCAGTCCCAAGAATTAGGTCTTGTCCATAATTCCTCTCTCAAGGACGGAGTTACAAAGTGCAAACTCTCTGATTTCCAAAGTTTCGCAACTGGAGGGACTGGAGAGCACAATCACTAAGCCTGAGCCAATTTTCATCCTCACATATAAGGAACGCAGATCAAACACATTACTGATAGAGTCATCAGTACAAAGGGAAAAAAACGAATTTAAGAAGAACTGAAATCGAAAACATGCCAAGAGCGATATTGAACCAAATAGTGAAGGGTCTGCACCCAGCAGAGCAGTCTTGGCATCTCTCATCTCCAGGGTCCAGCGGGCCCCAGACTCACATCAGCTCAGGCCGGAAGTGGTGGATGATGGCGCACAGGGCCAGGCCGCTGCGCCAGGATGTGGTCAGATCGGTGACGTTGACGTGCTGGTAGCCCTCGGTCTGCTGCTGGCACCAGGTTAAGAGCTTGCTGGGCCGGATGTCAGACTCTGCAGGAAGGGAAGCACAGGCAGTGAGGCTCTGAGGGGGTCTCCTCCCACTGCCACCATGGCTGGGGACCAGGAGGAGTGGCAGCCAGGCAAGGGGCCAGGGCAGCGGCCATTGGCATAGGTGCAGCCCCTGAGTGCTGCTGCTGGGGCCCAGTCAAGAACATGGCGGGAGGGCAGGATGCTGGGACAGGAAGCACACGCTCCTGCAGCACGGCCCCGACGACCACTGTGGCCAGGCCCTGGGCGAGATCCTAGGAAGACAGACCCTGCCAGCAACACACTCATCTAACAGGGAAGTCAGACTAGTGGGGGCTAGGGGGTGACGATGACACGGTGCTGCAATGGAGGGAGAAACAAGGTGCCATGGGAGCATGGAAGCCCCCTTTGCCAGAGTCTGCATCCCTGGGAGTATGGAGGGGGGCACTTTCCAAAGAAAGTGCCATGGGGGAGGTGCGTTTGAGCTGGTCCTTGCAGTGTCTGGGAATTCATCACAGGAGAAGGCATTCTAGGAAGACAGAAAGGACTGTGCAGTGGCAAAGAATCTAGAAACACCTGCCATGTCTGTGTGGTGGTGAGATAGTTTATCACAGCAGCAGGGCACGTGGAGCATGGAGGGAAGGGAGGAACACGGCTGAGTGTGCCTGGGGAGGGAGAGGACGCCAGGTCTGGACAGGTGCAGGAAGCCGGGAGGTCTTTAGGCAGAGCAGTGCCCTGGCTGAGCTGGGGGCAGGGGGGTGGGGGCGGTTACTCATCGAGTCAGCCCCTCCCCCTGCCGTGGAGCACAGGCCTTGCACCCAGCAAGGTCAGGAACAGGGTGACACACATCAAGCTTGTCATCCAGTTGGGCAGACAAGACCCCTACGCTAGAAACAACAGGAAGAGAAAAACAAGTCCCACTGAAGTAATGCCACAGTTCACATGTGCTGTGCTAAGCTCTCAACATGTATGAACTCCTTCAATCCTCACAGTGGTTCTGCAGGCAGATGTTCCCTTGGTCTCAAAGATGAGGAAACTGGAGTTCAGAGAGAAAAGGTGTCTGCCTAAGGTCACACAGGTAACAAGCTGGGCAGGCCTCCTCCCCACAAAGCCCCTCCCTGCTGTCTGGCCAGGCCCCAGGAAGGAGCTTACCCTTCCTGGAGAGGCTGACGGGTCTCCTCACTGAGCCCAGGCTCTCGAGAGGGTAGTGGTCCAGCTCCTTCGTGATGTACAAGTGCTTCACCTACGAGCCACAGAGACACACGCTTGCCTACCAGCTCCCTTGATCCTCGTCTCAGGGCCTCCAAACTCAGTGCCTGCCACCCTTCTGCCTTGCTGGAGGGCATGAGTCACAGACCAAGGGACCTCAATCACCCACCCAAATGTGAGGAACTAAGTGTGCATGTATGTGGTTAGTTTGCATATATGTAATTGGCTGAATTTAAAAATTCACACCTTTTTCTGTTCCATTGGGAGTTTGGTGGCTCCAAGTTAGTGGGAGAAAAAAGGTCTCAAGGACCATGGTGGTGAGGAGGGAGGATGCTTGTCTGAGTAGATTATTTGAGAGAGGTGTGATCAGCAACACATATGCACAGTGACAAATTAATATCAATATATGTAAATATACGCACACATGCATATATTAATTTATCCCCTGGAGTTCTCGTTCTCTCCTGTGTGCTACAAAGAATGCCAACTCTACTGGGGGGAAGAACTGGTCCTGCCCTTGGTCCTGGGAATAAGCTGGAATTTATGTGACCCCCTTCCTACCACCCAGTGCAGAGTGACCCAGGCAGGGCCCTGGGATGGACTTGCCTGGTGGGGCCTGACACAGTTTGAGTTGAGGTTTGGGTAGCGCGTCCCTGGATCCAGCGTGTACTGCTCAAAGTTCTTGTTGATGTTCTCTGGGGTTGTCTGAGGTAACAGCCGGTAAAGACTTTCTCTGGAGGGAGGCAGAGCCCAGAAGTCAGGCCTTGTCATCTCAGGCCTCTGTCCCCCTGACCCCCACCATTCCCCTCTTTCAAGGGTTTCTTGGATGTGTTTATATAATCCTTCCCTGAGATACCTGACGCTCATGGCTCTTGAGGTCTGCAAAGCTGGGGAACAGTCAAAAGGGCTGAGAGAAGAGGGGTGTCTGAGAGGCAGGGATGCTGGCCTCCTCCCTCAGGCAGAAGAAGGGGTGCAGGGCTGGTGGCATGGTGACCTATGGTTTTGCTGTAACCACACTGAGCCACACTGCCTCCTGCAGCCTTTCGCCATGACCACAGGCCTCCACACCCGAGACTGTCAGAGGTCTGCCTCGACCCACCAGCCCTGACTTCCAGTGTCCGCCAGCTGTCACAGACACGTGGCCAGCAGCAGGGGTCTGGGAGGAAGCCCAGAATCTCAGCAGTGGGAGAGGCCTGGGAGGCCAGAGAGCCCAGCCAGGGCGGGACACTCAGCACTGCCTTGGAAGACTCCCTTAAACCTCTCTGGCTCTTGGGTGAGTGAGCAGTGTCAGGGAGCCCCAGCTCTAGGGCCACCCCAGATGAAGACTTGTCTTTGGAATCCAGGGCCTGAGGTCCTGGCCACCAGAGAGAGGCACTTAAGGAGGTAGGTTGTGATGAAGAAAGTGTCCTTGGAGACCCCAGTGATCCAATCAGGCCACATGTGGGAAGGCAGATTCAGGTGGCACAGAGGCTCCAGAACATCTAAGAGTCATCTGGTCACCTGACAGGTGATCTTGTCCCTTCTCCTGCCTGAGCCTTTGACATGGCCCTGCCCCCAGCTAGAAGCCCTGCTGGCAGAACTCACCTTTCAGCCAGCAGCTCCAGGGGAGGGGTGCCCTGGTTCCAGCTCTTCACCATCCACGCCGTGTCAAAGGCTGCCAGGAAGCCACGGGCACAGCCTGTGCCCATGGGCCAAAATGGCTGCAAAAGAAAATGTGCAAAACTCTGGTTGATTGTACGATCTCCCAGACTATGGTCCCATCGTGCCCAGCACACACTGATGGCCAGGCTTGTGCAAGGCACTGGAAGAATAGAGAGGTGACAGGACAGGGACCCTGATACCCACAAGGATTTGCCACAAGCTCAAATACCTGTAGCACAAAGTCAAATGCAAAGGGTGCTATGACATAGGTACAGCAAACCTGCTTTAGGGCTCAGAAAAGGTGAGGCAACTCCCACCCTGGGAGAGGGAGGTGGAAATCAGAGTATGCTCCATAAAAGAATGGCATTGGTCAGGTGCAGTGGCTTATACCTCTAATCCCAGCACTTGGGGAGGCTGAGATGGGGAGATCACTTGAGGCTAAGAGTTTAAGGCCAGCCTGATCAACACAGTAAGATCCCTGTCTCTACAAAAAATAGAAAAATTAGCTGGATGTGGTGGTACACACCTGTAATCCCAGCTACCAGGGAGGCTGGGATTGCTGGAGCCCAAGAGTTTGAGGTTGCAGTGAGCTATGATGGTGCCACTGCCCTTTAGCCTGGGCAACAGACTGGGCAACAGAGCAAGACCCTATCTCAAGAAAAAAAAAGAAAAAAAGAGCAGCATTAAACCAATCTTAAAGAATGGATAGGATTCTGCTTTTGACCCACTAGGGAATAGTGTGGGCAAAGGCATGGTGGCTGGAAAATGCTGGGCCCTGTTGGAAGAACAGCCCCCTCGTTGGGGTGTAGCACAGAACATGGGGGATTGTGGAGAGAAGTCACACTGAGAAGGGAGGCTGGGCCAGAAGCAGGGTGGGTGCTGAATGCTCACCAAGGAATTTCAGTTCAAGTCCATGCACAGCGGTCCCTGCACAATAGTGCCCAAGGGCTAATTCAATGCTAAGTGCTAACTAACCTCTTCCAGGAGAGCCAAAAGTGTGGTTTGGAATTCAACTCATAACTTGGGATAAATAATAAACATTTTTTGATCAACGTTTGCATTAAAGATAAAAATGCATCCCTTCTGAAAACATTTATTTAATCTAAGAGTCCTTGCACTTACAGATTTTCTGGACTTTGGGGCCCACACACCTCTCTTGCATCCTATCTGATTTTCCTGTCAAAAGACCACAAAGCACCACCCACATGAGAAAGGAGCCTTGGCCCAGCTGGGGGTCTGCACGCTCTGAGAAGGACTGTCCATGAGGTCTAGACCAGGGCTGCCCAATCGTGAACCTCAACCGGGAAGTCAGTGCAGAAGAACCCAGCGAGGGAAGAGAAAGCTCTCCCACCCACACGCAGGCAGAACGGGCTCCTCCGAATTTAGCAGGGCAGGCTCCGAGGCCAGGATGGGCTTGGCAGAGTCCTGCCAACTGGCCGAGTGCCTGTCCTTTCCCCACTGCATGACAGCAGACGCTGCCTGCCAGAACATAAATGCAGGATCCGTCTCATTGCAGGAAGAAGGGGGCTCTGAACGTGGGCGGTACCTCGAGTAAGCTGTCACCCACGAGGGCCACGAGCAGCCGGTGTGCCTGCCGCTCCCGCACCAGGGCTGCATTCTCCGAGGCGTACATGGAGGTGAAGTCAAACATGGCCACGTCAGGCTGCCCATAGTGGTTCATGGCAAAGTCTAAGGATGGCAGCTGGTAGTTAGTGGCAAAGTCTGCAGCTTCCCGGGCATAGGAGAGCAGGTTGTCTTGGTTCACGTTCTCCGCACACAGCAGCATCTCTGTGTCGATGTAGTCCTGGGGGAGATCAAAACACAGTGTAGTAACCTGCGCCTCAAAGGGCTAGTCTGCATACCCATGCGGCAAAAGGACTTGGGGTGGGTCTCTACAGCGAAGCTAATCAAAACAAAAAAATAGAAAGTCAGGGCCAAGGGAATAAAGAGGAAATAAATGAGCCAGCTGTGAGGGTTAACATGATTGTGATTAAGCACCAAGTTTGGCACCGAGCTTCCCGGCATCCAGGGCAAAAGGGAAATGTGATATGTTACAGGGCTTTCCTTATCAGAAAGAAGGAAGCATAGAAATTCCTCAGGGGAGGCAATTTTTTCCTGGCACTAAATTCTAAAAGATCTGTCTCATGTAGGAATTTCAATAGAGAACCCTGCGAGTTGTAATGAACAGTGGACTTGATAACAGTCTTGGAACAAGCAACAAGCACGTTTCGTGTGGCTGGTTCTCACCATAATTTCCAACACAGTTAAAAGACCAAGAGCAAATCAGTAAGCGCGACTTTATAATGAATCGAGCTAAGCTAACGCGGTCCAGATACGCTGTGTTTAGTGGTCAAACAAGACCAGGAAAAAAACTGGTACTCGGCCTAACTCTCAGATTTTCTCTCCAGAATCAGTTACCCCTTTTCTGCACAGGTCGAGGGCTGCTCAAGGCTTGGCTTTGCTCGTGGTGTTAATTGTTAGACTTCCCTGCTGGCGGTGGAGAGACCTGAGCTAAGAGAACGAGGATGTCCATCCTGGCGGGATACTGGCAATGAACCGCAGGATGTCGGGGATTGAAGGAAGTAAGAAAGGCTGCAGTATCCCCAAAGTCCAAGCTGCTCACTGTGTGGCTAAAGAAACTAAAAACATCATCTTTCCCAAAGGTGACACAAACATCAGAGACCTGGGGGAAGGGAGGACAGGTGTGTAAGGTGAGCACAGGTTTTGGGGTCAGCAAGAGCAACAGGTCAAAGTCCACCTCTGCTGTTTACTAGCTATGGATTTGGGCAAGTTATTTAACTTTCTGAGTCTTTGTCTTCACATTCGTAAAATGGTTATAACAAAATCTATTTCACAGAGCCACAGGGAGATTGAAGGAGACTGCATATGTGAAATCCCTAACCCCACGCCGGGCACCTGGGAAGTGCTCAGTGGATGGGAATTCCCGTCCCCGGCAGTCCATGATGGCACAAAATGCAGGCTACGCTGAAGTGCACCCTAGACCCACCCAAGGTGCCACATCTACAAAGGTCTTAAAAGGCACGGCTTCATCTATAACCAGAGTGATTTACTATCTCAACTTTCTGAATCACCATGACTTCAAATACCCTGTTTTGAAAATTCTAAAATTTCTACATCCAAACCACATCCCTCGAAGTGTGCCCGGCATTGGCCCGAGAGCCCTTTGTCAGGTCCTGGTGTCCAGGACGCAGGGCCTGTTATCTGGTGGTCTTTCCGATCTGTGTTGCTACAGCCATGGAGGTGTGCAGGGAGATGGGGGACGAGTGAATGGGGAGGTCTCAAACACACCCCTCCTCAAAGTGACATCCCTGAGGGGGCATGGGTGACATTAAAGTGCTTGGTGTGGACGCTCGTGCAGGAGTGTGGGCACCTGGCAGAGGGAGCAGGCCTCTGGGCCAGGCCCGGATGACAGCCCACCTGGCCCGCGGGTGCGGCGGGGCCTGTGAGGGGCCAGAGGGCCCCAGGTGGGTGGCGGAGGGGCAGGAAGAACAGAACCGTAGGGAGGAGGTAAGAACAGGATGCGAGGACAAAAGTGGGGGAAAGGGACAGGACGCAGGTTCTCCGTGAAGCGTGCAGGCCCAGGGACCTGCCCATCTGCATTAAGATGCAGGAGGCACGGGGGCCACAACTGGGCCCACTCGCCACAGGCCTGTGGTGCCGGGGGAGGTTGGGTCCTGGACACAGAGGCGGGGCAGTGTGGAGGGAAGCAGGGAACATGAGCGGAGGGTGGGGCCCATAAGAAGAGCAGACTCCCCAAGTGCGAGCTGGGAAGAGGCTGGAGGCTGGCAGAGGAGGTCAGGCGATGCCCACACGCTCCATGCGGGGGTGGGGGGATCAGCAACGGGAGGCCACCTGTCGTGCACCCACACCATCCCTCGCCCAGCAGCCAAGCTCGCCCCACAGTGCTGACGGCAGGCCTGCTGGCCCAGGAATCTCAGCCCACGCATGAGTGGCCACCAGAGGCAGGGTCCCAGGGAAGCTCTGGGATGGGACATCCTCCTGGTGGGGAACAGAAAGATGGACACAGCTGGGAGCCCAAAGGCATGGTTTCTGGAGAAGAAACTACTCCCTTCAGTGGCCATGGGGAGAAGCCCAAAGAGCAACCGGAATAAATGGGGAAGCAGGAAAGGGAAACTTCTTGTTCAGCAGTCAGTCAGTCATTCAACAAACATTTACTCAGCACCTTCTGTGTGCCCGTAGGAAGATGCTGACCCACACAAGGAGAGGAAAACAGAGAGGACCTGTCATTCCTTGCGGAGCAAGAGGAGAATGTAAATTTAAGTGGCTCACGGGCCAGGCAAATGCTACAGAGTGTGGCTGGAAACCTGGAGGCTCAGGCCACAGCTCCTGGCCCAAATGGGCATCCAATTCTCCCATGTCCAGCCTAAGGCCTCCAATTTCTAGAAGAGAGTTCCTGTTTAGTACCTTGAGGCCCCTCAGCACCAGCTCAGGAGGTGCCCTAGAGTCCTCTGAGGGAGAAGGAAAGGCCTTGGCGAGGACAACCATGGGCCTGGGGGGCTCTGCCAACTGCCAAGTAACAGAGTGTCCATGAGAACGTGTCACTGCCGGGGCAAACTCCCTGGGATGACTGAAGGTGACCTTCGCATCCTCGGAGGCTGGAGAACTCAGCCAGTGAAACATGAAACTGGGCAAACTTCGCCTGTCTACCCAGCCCCGCCTCCACCCAGTGCCCACTGCCCCTGCACCCCAGGATGACCCTTTGCTCTCTGACAGTCAGCCCCAGACTGAGGAGGCAACTTCTGGAGGGATGCCTGTGGGGTAGGGAAAGAAGGGGAACCGCCTCCCCCAGACTGACCAGTCAGCAGCGGGTGCCATGTGCTGAAGCCCACCGCCCACCCATCTGGGGGTGCCCAGCCAGCTCCACCCAGCCCGCATGCACAGCCTCTGCCCACAAGGCAGGCCCTCAGCGAAGGCCTGGGCTGAGGTGGAGGCGGCCCAGGGGAGGGCTGGGTTACTAATGCTGCCCAGCTGGCTGCCAGCACCAGCAGGCGAGAAGATAGACACATTCTTCTCTGACAAGCAGTGATGAATGGGTACCGCGCTGCCCGCGCTCCAGGCTGACAGCCCGAGAGCAGGCTGACCCTGGCTACACGATCCTTATCTCCAGGATGCAGCAGCAGCAGCGACAATGACAGGGGCTCTGGAAGGGCTGAAAACCTGACCACAGAAGCTTTTCCAGGGACCACCACTCTGTGTGTCTTCTTTCCAACCTTTGTGTTGAAGCAAGAAGAGGCAAAGCCACAGAGCAGCAGCCAGGAAGCCAGCAGGACAAGAAAGCCAGTGTCCAAACAAGGCTGAGAAGTTACAGAGGGATCTACCAACCCACCATGTGCAGTACTGTGCTAGTCGCTCTGTGTGTGTGTGTGTGTGTGTGTGTGTGTGTGTGTGTGTGTTTATTTGCAACTTCCAAGGAGCATAAACTTTCAGACAGACACTATCACTCCTATTTTGTAGATGGCAAAACTGAGGCTCAGCTTGCCCATGATCTGCGTGAGTACATGGTGCCGCCAAGATGCAGCTTGCATCTTTTTCACTGCACAAACAGTCAGCTTTCCCCCATACCATGACGAAGGTTCACAGGGTGAAATTCACAAGCGAAAGCATCTCTGTGTCCCACTAGGACAAGGAGCCCCCATCTGCCTCCAAATGACAGGTGACCTCCCAGAGAAGGGGCAGGGCTGAATGAGTCTTGGGCAGGGAAAGCTCAGCCGATGTAGTAATACGTTAACAGCACCACACACCCTCTGCAGAGACATCTCTATGTGTACCGGCCTGGGCTCTCCATCCAACACTCCAGCAACATCGAGGGAAGGGACGGTGGTAGGCAGGCAGTCCCTTCCCTCTCCTCCCCTTGCTCAGTTTCGGGCAGGAGGACATCTGCTCCCACACCTGCCGATGCTGCCAGCCCAGGTCACAAGGGAAAGACGGTTGGGAAATCACAGCCAAGAGGTACGTACGTTAATGATGACACCTTTGTCGAGCAGGCTCTGCTTCTTGGCTGTCATGACAAAGTAGTGGGTGCAGTCCTTGTAGTAAACAATGTTCTCTAGATCAATCCCTGAAAAAAAGAAGTATTCGTAGACTCAGTATTTCTTCCTCATGCCAAATGTGCGGCAGGAACTACACTTTGTCTTGTTGCAGGTCTCATCATTTATCTGCAGCATATTCATGTTAGACAAGTTTTTAAGACATACAAGGCTAGAAAGGATAAAATAGAGTGCTGGATTTTACCCAAGTCAAAGTAGCTAGCTTTTATAGTCCCACTTACAGTGTGCATAAGGATTGTAGACCAGTATTCCTAAGTTAGAGCTGGGTAACTGCTGTAGAAAGGCCAAGTGCTGGCCATGGCCATGACATCTAAGCAATGACACAGCTGGGATCTGACTCCAAGTCCTGTCCAGCGTGCCCTCCCTGTGGCCACAGGTGCATGGAGCTGTGGGAATTCTCCAAAGACCATGCTAAAGAATGTTTCTACCATTTCCCTGTTCACATGTGAAAACCCAGGTGCAGTGGTAGGAACAACTCAGGTTTCCACCAATTGCAAGACATTTTATAAACTAGGTTTCTGCATTGAAAACCAAGCTATGGAGATGAGAGCTCAGCTCTGTGGATCTCAAAGGGTGATCCTTGGGCAGCGGCATCAGCATCAACTGAGAACTTAATAGAAATGCAAATTATCAAGGCCCCAGCCCAGACCTACTGAATCAAAACCCTGGGGACAGAGCCAGAATTCTGTGTTTTAACAAGCTCTCTAGGCGGCCTGAGTCGCTTCAAGTTTGAGAACGACTGCCTTAGCTTATTTGAAGGGAGAGAAAGGAACAGACACAGGGCGTGTTGACATAGGCATGCAACACAAGGCGTGCTGGGAAACCATAGCAACAGCTTTATTACCGTTAAATAGGAAACGGCCATCAGTGCAGACGGCCCTGGGGGAATCAGAGGAAATTCACAGCTGTTGCTGTGCGAGGGCACCGTTGTGAAACAATGGCTGAAGGTGATGACCACAGCAGAGCTTAAAGGAAGCTCACTGAAACGTGGGAAAACATACTCAACGTCCCATCATAATTTATATTTGGTGGTGTAAGTATTTATGCTCTTGGTTTCTGAAGGGAAGGGAGGGTTGGATTCTTAAATCATGCATAAGGACATTATATGCTGGAAGGAAATATTAAAACTTAAAAAAAAATAATGCAACTGTGGTGAAACAAGCTCAGAGGGCCACGTGATGGGCACGCATCATTGTGGCTAGCAAGAGACACAGTCTTGCTCACCAACGAGTCCCCCTTCTAGAAAATGATCTCAAAGAAAGAATTTCACAGAAACAGCTTTATCTGTAACAGTAAATAACCGGAAGGCCTGAATCAGAGGTCAGCAAATGTTTCCGTAAAGGGCCAGGTAGTCAATATCTATCTTTGGCTTTGTGGCCATATGGTCTCTGTCATGGCCACTCGTGGTGGAGGCAGCCAGAGGCAACAATGTACAGAAACGGGGAGGGCTGTGTTACAAACAACCTTCATTTTGCACACTGAAATTTGAATTTTATATAATTTTCATGTGTCACAAAATATTATTCTTTTGATTTTTTTCTTTAGCCCTTTAAATATATAAAACCATTCTCAGCCCAAAGGTGATACAAAAACTGTGGCCATAGTTTGCCCATCTCTGGTTCAAATGCTTAGGCGGTGACAGTACATCTACCTGGTGAGACATGTGCGGCCCCTAACACTGACCGTCAGGAGGACCATGTCAGAACGTGATGCTGAATGAGAACAACAGGGCAACAAAGAGCACGGACACCGTGGTTAGAGCTAGAGCCACGTGAAAAGCAAGCCCGCAGGTGGCAGATCGCAGAAAAGGAGCGCACGGCCACAAAGACTGTTCCTGTGCTAGGTGGTCAGATCGTGGGCGGTTTATTTTCAGTGTAAAGATTCTACTTAACACTATTGTTACACTGCCTTTTCAAAAGAAGGATATATTTTTAATCGGTTAAAAAGAAAGGAAAAAGTCTGGAATTGACTTAATTGGGAACAGGCAATTCACCCCTCTCCTTCCCCTCAGCCTGTTGTGTTTTTCTCTACCCTCCTGTCACCACCTGACATGTGGCTTGTTTGTTTACTGACTGTCGGCCCCTGTAGAATAATGTAAGCTCTAGGACAGAGGGATTTTTGTTTTGCTCATTGCTCTATCTCAGGCCCTGGCACAGAGTAGGCATTCAGTAAATATTTGTGGAGTAAATGAATCAAAACCTTCTATGCTCTAGGCCCATGGCTGGGTAACAACTGATGCCAGTAAGTGTCACGTTCACAGAGTGGCCCTGGATGTCCTTCATGAAGAAGTGCGGCTGCCACACTGCACGAAAGCACCTGGGCCTCTCCAGGTCCCGCCTGGTGCTGGCTCCCCGCTCAGCGAGCTCCCCGAGCATCGCCCTGACCTCGGACACGGTGCTAATCTCCTGCCTTGAGGTGGTTCATGCGGGTCTCCCTTGCTGGACAGGGAGGCACCTTGGGAGGGATCAAGCCAACCTCCACTTGGTACCCCACAACATTGAGAATTGGCATATAGTGGGCACTTGGAAAATGTCTACAGTGCAAATAAATTCTTATTTATTTACTCTAGTATCTCTTTTCATGTACAACATCCAGAACTTTCCCTCAAGAATCTCTCTTGTCTTTGAAGGAATCCTGTCCACTCATCACCCATCCTCAGGAGACGTCTTGGCTTCCTCCCCATCAGAGTGAGTGTCTCCTGTTCCAAGGGCCCGGAAAGCCACCGCGCCCCGCTGCGCACTTCAGAAACCTCGGACAACGGCCCGGCTGGGAGAAAGGTAAGGGTCCCACCTGTTTCTTCTTTGAGGTCCTGGAAAAACTTCTGATTGAAGATGAAAGCCACGCCGCTAATCTCCTCCACCTTGGCCTCGGCCGTGCTGTTTCTGTTTATGAAGTTGGCGGTGATCGCGATAGCCAGCTTCCCACGGAATTCTTTTCTTCTGAACCCTGCATGGGGAGAAAGGAAGAAGTGGGTCTATCTTCTGGGTTTGGTGTGAAAACTGAAAAAGTACTGAGAAAGCTATTCTCAGATGCCTCCCGGGTCCACGAGAACAAAATTCTAGATCTCCAGAGAACAGGGGCAGGCAGAGATGCCGAGGTTCCTTCCCAAGGAGGACACTTGTCACCAGCGGCCTTTCAGTCAGTGGGACTGTGTCCTATTCTAAACTCTCTAGGTCCTGTTTAGGCCTCAACAAACAAAAGGCTAAAGTGATCTTTCCCAACAGGTCACTGCAGGGCTCATCCTTTTAAAGAAGTTTAGGCATTGTTGCTAGATAACACTCATGGGAGACTCACACGCACTTTGAACTTAAAGGATGAAAACTACTTTGTTAGCATTTTTCATGGTTTTTCCCCCTTTGAAAAGTAGGATTATTCAACTGAATTTCTGCAGGAAGGGATTTTAACAACTCTTCTTTGTATCTACAATTGTTACGGGTTTTATTGTGTCCCCACACCCCTCAAATTCATGTTAACCTCCAATATCTCAGAATGCGGCTTTGTGATTTGGAAATAGGGTCACTGCAGATGGAATTAGTTAAGATGAGGTCATATAGGAGTAGGATGGGCCTTCATCCAATATCACTGGTGTTCTTATAAAAAAGGGAACATTTGGAGACAAATGCACACAGGAAGAACACCACGTGAAGCTGAAGGCAGAGATCGGGATGAGGCTTCCAGAGGCCAAGGAACACCAAAGGTTGCCAGTAAACCACCAGATGCTAGGAAAGGGGTATGGAATAGATTCTTCCCCACAGCCCTCAGAAGGAACCAACCTTGCAGACACCTTGATCTTGGACTTCCAGCCTCCAGAACTGTGAGACAATACATTCCTGCTGGTCAAGCCACTTAGCGTGTGGCACTTTGTTAGGGCAGCCCCAGGAAATGGATACACCAATTCCCAGTGACTGGCACTTAGTAGGCACTCAACAAGATATAATGTATCCCATCTATTGACAGAATTCTAACTTGCAATTAAGTTAGCACCCAAATTCTTCAGAATTCTTATTGTTTCCAATGATGTATATTGAAATTGCTTTTGAATGGCGGGGGATGGCAGATAGATCACAGAGGATGGTCACTTCTTAACAGCGCATCTCCCTCCTAGTCCCCCTTTGCTGGCATCTGACCACCACTGCAGTCCTGAGTCCCCCAGCCCCGGACATGCCATGCACTTTGCATAACTCCAGGCACTGGTCTACAGGTGCAGACTCTCCAGATGTAAACTTTCCTCAGACGCCCTTAGGAAGCCCTCACATCTGCTCACCACGTACTCCAGCCTCACGCTGATTCTCAATTGCTCTGCCAAAAATCCCTTTGACTGAAAACCTTGGGTTTCTATTTAATACCCTTCCTTTACGTTATTCTTCATTTGACCTTTTGTCAAAGGGTCAGAAATGATTCTCTAGTCTAATATTTCTCAGCTGGGGGTGATCTCACCCCCCAGGGCCACTTGGCTATGTGTGGAGGCATTTCTAGTTATCATACTTGGGGGTGCTACTAGTGGGTAGAGTCCAGGGATGCTGCTAAACAGCCTACAATGCACAGGATGGCCCCCGAGACAAAGAATGAGGTGGCCCCAAACGACGATGGTGCCGATACTGGGAAACCCTGCCGTGGTCTACTCACGTGGTCCCAAGTGGCTTAAAGAGCTCCATCCTTCCCACCCTTCTTTCCATGTTCGTGAAATGCAGAACTATACTCAAGCTGATAATGGATCCTGGATTTTCAAATATTCCAACGTACACTTTTACCAAACCACCACAGTGACCATAAATTTTAACAGCACAACATCCAGGCGGGCAGCTTAAACACTCCCTGTGAGATGTGGGTTATCGATAGTGGGGAGGTGGGTATGGAAGGGAAGCAAGAAGGGAGTGGCCACCAGCCCTGTTGGGTGGCAGATGGGAAGGCTCTGCACCAGGTGGCCACATATCCTGAGTTGTCTACGTTTTCTAAGCCTGTTTCAGGGAGTATGTTCTGTCCTCAGAGGATGTGTCCTCCCAGTCAGGCACGTGCAGCCTGTGGCCCTTGAGGGGCAAGTTCAAAAAGTAGAACTGCCCCTAGTCTAAGAGATGCCACTGGGGCCATGCTGTTTACAGCCCATGGTCTCCAATTAGTACCATTCGTATCAATTAGTGTGGCCTGGTTCTTCTTGGGGCCCAGGTGGAGGCGACTGAAGCACTTCCCGGCAGTGGGGTTTTTCCCTCAAGCTAACTGAATCTTACTCCCAGAAAGCATGTTATGCTTCCAGCTTTGGAACTCAGAGAAGCGTGGCCTTTGCACCTTGACAATTTGGCAAGACTTGCCTAACTGCCTAGCAGTGGGTGTGCTTAAAAGTTAGGAAAAGAGATGGGCCCCTCCTTTAAGTATGAGTAATAGTAGTATACTCGACAGTAAACTAATACCACTAATACTATAAAAACATTTATTCTAGACGAAGTAAGTATGGAAGTGCTTAGCACCATGGTTTGCACATCAGCAGGTGCTGAATAAATGGATACTGGTTTTTTTCCAGGGCACTTTATCTTTGTAAAGCATTTTTACATACTAGTTTTTTCTCAGCCCTCATAATAACACCCTGTGGGGGTTCTGCTATTTACCATTGAGAAAACCAAGGTTCAGACAGAATGAAATGGCTGCCCTCTAAACTCCAAGACTCACAGGAGGATGGGCCACTCTACTCAGGAAGGACAGGACAGGACAGCCTGCCCCTCCATCCAGACCCCCATCCAGCTTTGGCATCTGCCATCCTGCCCGCCTTTCTCCACCTGCTCCTTGAAACCCCCCTCCCATTCCCATCCCCCCAGCCCCACCCCAAGAAGAAGAATCTTCACCTTCCAGGGTGTTCCTGCGGCCGTCGGCACCAATGATGACATCAAACTCGAACTCCGACAGAGAATGGTCTGCAGGGAGGAATTCTGCCCGCCAGCCGATTTCTATTGGGACAGATAAATGAGATGAGTTGGCAGAGGTGGAGAGAGAGTGATTACACCCCTTCTCTGTTGGCCGCAAGAGATGGACAACCAGGTATATGTGCCCCAGGCAAGACTCCAGAGGAAAGGCTGAGAGCAGTCCAGACTCACACTCTACCTGGTGTCCTTCTGGCTTTAGTGTCAGTTAATCCAGGACAAAGTAAACCAGCAATGCCAACTCCATGCCTGGTTTTACTGGCCTTTGCTGGGAGTCTGCCCTCAATGGTTCTCAGACTAGTCTCGCTTGCTCTGTATTTTCCTCAACAGGTTGCACCAGGCCTCTTCACATTCTCCCACATTCCGCAGTGCCTTCCATTGTGACACACCCGAGAGGAGGTGCAGGATGCAATGAAATCAGTTTGAGTTTCTATGCTCAAAATGCTCAGAGTGTTCTGTTGTACAGTACACTGTCTTTTATAAACACATTTTCAGGTGAAGCCTGGCTGCTTACCCAAAATTAAGATTTACCATCCAAAATTAAGATTTACCATAAGTCTGAAAAACATTGAGAGTGCACAGTCTCTGAATGCTATATAACAAATGCTGTCCCACTAAAGCCTCCCCTAAATTCTCAAATATTCTGGGCAGAGGACAGGAGAAATCACAGATGCACCCTCAGCAGGAGACTACGAGGTCTCTGACAATAAGCTGGCCCCAAACTGAAAGCCCTTCCCAGGCGGCAGCAGATTGGACAGTTAGTAAGATGCAGAGGCATCATGAGCAAACTCTGACCATGGTATGTGTAAAAAATCAGAATTTCGATAAACATACTAACACAAAAAAGAGAAACATTCCTAAGTAACACATACCTTTATGAGTAAATATTAGAGTATATAAATTATACTTCAATAAAGTTAAAAAATATTACAAACCCATAATATATTGAATCTTATGTTATAGTTGCTCTAGAAACTTCACTTTCTTTACTGGATTTTAAAATATCTATGGATACAACAAGTGCACCCCCATATCTATGTGTGAACACACAAACACAGATCGAAGAGCATGCGAATGAACTTTATCAAACAACCAAATCTATGTCTTCTGTTTAATACTTATCGATCAGATTTCATTTGCCAAAGTAGCATCCCCTAGGGACAGGGTAACCAAATAGCTGAATAATAAACCCCCTGGGAGCTGAAGAGCAAACCTAAAGTTACAGCAACAGTGAAAAAGGGTAAAACATCCTTAAGTGGAATTATGCCAAATGGCTCCCAGTAAAAATAACTCTCACAGAAACATCCTCTGAGAGCTGCAAATGTGATTTCCATTTTGCAATATCTTGATTTCCAGACAGAAAAGGAAAATGATACTGTACTTTGATTTTCTTGATCTTCAGGAGGCTCTAGAACCTTCACAAACTCCACATTCACGTGGA